ATTTTACGAACGCACTTGCTACGTGCGCGCTCCTTGCGGTCTTGTTCGCGGTTCAGCGTTGCGCCAGCGTTGTTACGGCTATTGCAGCATTCTCGCCATCGCCATGCACATTCTCGTCTGGACGATGGATTCGGTGAGTTTGGTGTGAAGCAGTGATGCAAACTCGAGCCGATTCTCGCTTGTGTGCATGCTTTCCCTACCACGGAGCCCTGGTGATGGCCGGCTCGAGTTTGCATCACTGGTGTGAAGAAATTCATCGTCCAGACGAGATGATTCCGAAAACTCGGGATAGATTGAAAAGTAGTTATACGCATCAAGAAGCTGTGATGAAACTTAAACCAGGAGATCAGATCGTACTTACCATTCAACATGGTTCTCTTCCGGAATGTTATCAGGTAATTATGGCACACACATAGTTTTGAAATTACATTAAAAAAAGATTTAAAAAATATTTACTTTTTGATTATATAGTGGTTGCGTTCCGTTTTGCGCATAGGACGCATCGTTCGCATCGCTAATGCTTAGCGCATTGGCTGCGTTTCGTTTTATTATGCGCAAGATACATGCTTTGAAACGGAACGATATTAAACGCATTAGAAGCGGAAAATCAAAATGGATTCCACAATAAATTGCGCTATCAATGTGACAATGTTTTTAATTGATGAAATGAGTGACAGTAATAGTAGTGAATCATCAATGACTCTTCCATTATGGGCTTGTTCGTTTTAGCTACACTGGGGCTGCTCTGGGTCTGCTCTACACAGGATAATACAGGACAGATAAATAGTTTGTCCTGTATTATCTTGTTTAGAGCAGACCCAGAGCTGCCCCAGTGCAGCTAAAACGAACAAGCCCTATGACTCTTCCTATTTTGACACTTTTTACAATATCGCTATCAATCGCCATATGCAATTACGCAATCGCATGGAACGCATAAGCTGCTGCAACTCAAACTTGAGGTAGCTGATGCGTGTATTATGCGCTGCAGGTGGTGGGGATCTAGGGAATTCTAAGCGCTGTTCATGCGCGCATTGAGTGAAACGGAACGTTTTCTATGTAATTCGTGCGCATAATGTGCGAAACGGAACGCAACCATATTTCAATGATGTCGCCTTTTTCTCAAGGGTAGACAGGAATGACGGCCCGAGTCCGAATAGAGACCCTCTAATAAGAGCTGGATATCAGAGGGGCCACTTTTGATTGGTCCGCCATTTCCTAGGCATTCCCGCTTATATTCAAATTTCAATTTTATTTACTTTAAATGTAATTTTTAGTATTTTTATAATATTAAATGATAAATATTATAAAAATACTAAAACTTAATTTTTTCTATTAATCTAAATAATATATGTTAAAATAATTTTTTAATTAAATGTTTTCTCTGAATTCTATGAAATCTTAAGTAAAATTTAAATGAGGATAAGAAATAATTAAATAAATTTAAGTAAGGATAAGGAAGTAAAACACTTTTAATATTTTTAAAAATTATTTGTGAAATTTATTTAAAGAATGTGCGTACATAGATTTGCTATCATATCTCTTAATATTAATATCTTTTTTATTCATTATTCTTAATCTAAATACAATAAATCTTTTAATAATTTTTAAAAACAGTTTACGACAGTCTGGAATATTTTTGGAAAATTTCGTTAAATAAAACATGTTACTTAATCTCACAAAGACATGAATTCTTTCCAAGCATCCAATTTTTATAGCCAACATTTTTAATCCACAAAGCACGACGTTGAGAATTTGTGGGAAATAATTTCATAATATATTCTTTCTTTAAAGAGTTATTACAAAATTCTGCACAGCATCCACCCATTTTTATAAAATTCACTTTTTATAAATTGACATATATGCTAACACATTACACAGTGGCTTAGTTTACACCGATTGTTTAGTACGCGTACCAAATACTAAATCTGCTTCTCCGATAGGTATAAATCGTTTAGTGTCAAATCTACACCAATCAAAAAAGCTGATTTAATACTTGGTACGCGTCACGAACTAAGGAATAGAGGGACTGAGGCCGGTATTCATAGTCCGTTCTTATATTTAAGATTGTCTTAAGCACGGACTTATATTCGCTCTCTTCGTCACACATAGATTGTGTCTGACGAAGAGAGCGAATATAAGTTCGTGCTTAAGACGATCTTGAATATAAGAACGGACTATGAATACCGCCCTGAGTCTAAAGTTCTAGTTTAGGCGAGAGGGGATGGTAACTCAAGTGTGCGGGGGGGACTGCTTTCCGCCATATTGATGTAGCGATTCTCACACAGAGATTCTGTGTCTGTGACATGGTTACACTCGTGTAGTGGTGCCACTAGACATAACGAGTGACAAGCATAAAAAGATTAGGCGATTTTATTATTGTTGTATTATAAATTTTATAAAATACTTTAACTTTTATTACTCTGAGGCTCTGCATACAGTAGACAAAATATTTGAAA